ATGATTTCCATCCAAGCGAAGTAGAGTGTTTTCCATTATATATTTGTAAAAAAAATTATATTAGTAAAATATTAAATAAAGTAAAATACTTAAATAAATTAAATACATAATATTAAAAATATTATAAAATATACATTAAATAGAGAGAGTATTTAAGAGAAATTGAGAAAATTTGAGAGAATTTAGTGTGATGAAAGTGATTGAGGATGGGGGCATTTATAGGGAGGATTGAGGTGTGAACGGGTGGATAATTAAAGGTATAGCGCGCCCCTGTACCGCTCTATACCCCACGTGTCAGATAACCAGGTATAACGCGACCCCTGATTCGCGTTATACCGCTACGTGACGTATAGTGCAGATCAAGGGGCACGCTATTCCCCACGTGAGCCAAATCAACATATAGCGCGGGACAGGGGGCGCACTTTACTGCTACGGGTGTTAGATCGAGAAATATAATCTGACCGATGTTAGATCGATAAATATACCAATCACCAATGATTTTTCAAAAAAAAAAAAAAAACCGGTAAAACCCACATATTTGTTAATTGATACATTGAATCTTATTTTATTTAAATATATATATCACCTTCCTCGATTTTCTCAAAAAAAATAACTTTAGGTTAAAATAATATTAAGTCATTAATTATTACATCCCACCGATTTTGGGAATTATTCAAAGTTTAAACTTTGAAACCGCAGCACCAACCTTAACCTGCAATAAGTACACTAAGCAGGAGCACTGTGTTTTTTGAAAAGGGGGAAAGAGGCCTGGGGCTAGCTGGCTGGCTGAACGTCTTGTGTTGGGTTGATCCAGCTCAGCGCCAAACCCTATCAAAATGAGCCACAGGCGCGTGTTCTCACATGCCTGTTCACCTTGGATTCCCAGGGTTCACCACTTTTGTCCACCCAGCCAGCCAGCTACTTCAATAAAATTAACTCCAGCCTGTCATCTCGTAACTTTTATTATATATCTGCTTCCATTTTACCGCACTTTCTCAGTTCAAGAAAAATGTTTTCACGTGCTTTACAGACATTGTTCATCACGGCCATTTTTTATTGGTGAGTGAAATAAAATGGCACGTAGAGCGAATGATGGGAGACTGTTTTCTTTTCTCTTTTTTTTTTTAATTTAAAACAGGCTTGGGTAAACCGTTGCGCCTCGTTTTCAAAGCATACTGGCAATGACGAAGCTCCAACCCCAAATACCCACTTTTTTTAATTCTAAAGAAATTGAGGTTCATTAAATAAACTCATTTCCCAGGCCTATATATACCCCTTTTCCCCCACTTCTCTAAATCCATAACTTAATCCAAATCATATAGCACCAAATTTTTCTCCTTCTTCTTTCTTGTGAAAATCAAGATGGGTTCTTGCCTTACTCAAAGTGTCTTGAAAATTTTCCTTGTGATCGCTCTGTTTCAAATATGTTGGGCCGGAAGGAAGCTGAGTGAAGTAGTGCAAGAGCAGCCGCAGCTCTTGACATTCCACAATGGTCCCCTTCTTTCTGGAAAAATTACTGTCAACTTGATTTGGTATGGCAAATTCAAGCCTTCCGAGAGGGCTATTGTCTCCGATTTCGTTGCCTCCCTTTCCTCCCCCCCTCCGCTTCAAAATAAGCAGCCCTCGGTTTCCCAGTGGTGGAAAACAACCGAGAAGTATTACCACCTCTCGTCCAAGAAATCGTCGCTTTCCCTGTCTTTGGGAAAACAGATTCTCGACGAAAACTATTCACTCGGGAAGTCTCTCAAAAACAAACAAATCGTTGAATTGGCATCCAAGGGTGACCAAAAGAATGCTATCAACGTTGTTCTAACAGCATCCGATGTTGCTGTTGAAGGGTTTTGCATGAGCCGATGTGGGACTCATGGGTCTGCCTTGGGCTCAACCAGTGGTCACATCAAGGCCAAGAAGTTCACCAAATTCGCTTACATTTGGGTTGGTAACTCCCAGACCCAGTGCCCCGGTCAATGTGCCTGGCCCTTCCATCAACCGATCTACGGACCACAAAGCGCACCTTTGATTGCACCAAACAACAATGTGGGTTTGGATGGCATGGTGATCAACTTGGCTAGCCTCCTTGCCGGGACGGTCACCAACCCTTTCGGAAATGGTTACTTCCAGGGCCCAGCCGAGGCACCATTGGAGGCTTCGTCAGCTTGTCCCGGGATTTATGGTAAAGGAGCTTATCCAGGATATGCAGGAAACCTACTTGTAGACGCGACAACTAGTGCAAGCTACAATGCTCATGGTCACAATGGAAGGAAATACTTGCTTCCTGCTTTGTATGATCCTTCAACGTCATCTTGCTCAACTTTGAGCTAACCATCTGAAGCATCGATTAGCTGAATGTATACGGTTCAGGATTTAATTCTTTATTTGTTAATTTATTATGATTATGCGGATAGTAAAATACCAGCAAACTTCTTGGGTTTGCTTTTATCATATTGACAATTCTCACTCTGGAGTTTTCGTTAGTGATTCAAATCAATCAGCCGTTCCTACTTTACTGGGGGAAACTTCCAATTTTTCTCTTTCGTTTACCTAGCTTGTTGGAAATTGGAATAACGATAACCACTGACAACAAAAATTGGGGCCTATTAGGAATATTAGTCATGTCCAGACTTGTAAACTGATTATGATTGTGGACAATCATTCATTCCACTTGCATGTGGCTTCCTCGCCCATACAGTGCGTTGGGGAAAAAATCATCATAGACGGCTCTCACCAAATTATTTTCTGAATTATGATGTTTTCTACAATCTCAAAAGAAATAAACATGGATTATTATTATGGGATTTTTTTATATTACCATACGTCTTTAATTTTATAGAACAAAAAAAATGGTTAATGAGGTGAAGGCGTGTAGCAATCTTGTGGTATTCTCCAAGTTACTGTTCCAAACACCCTAAGAAATAATTGTTTGAGTAGACTATTTGGAGAATTCTTTTTTTTTTTCAAACACAATATTACAACAATTTCCCCCTTGCAATGTTTTATTGTAATTTTAATATAGTTGACCATTTTTTTTGTAATTGATTTTATTTAATAACCTAAATATTTATTCTAGGTAATAATTCTTATGAAATGAGAATTTTTTATGACCAATTATTTAAGTTTTGTAAATAGAAATTATGTCATAACTTTTAGAGTAATGTGAGATAGAATTATTTTGAATAGATTTAATTCCTTTTTGGGGCCTCTACAACTTTTGAGCTTTATGTTATAGAGATAGTTTTGTGTGAACATTGAAAAATTATTTTGAATAAATCGAGTTTTGGGAATACAATGTATTTATATTTTTCGTATTTTCTACATTTATAGTTGATTATTGTTTATCTCGCTCGTGAATGTAGGCAAGTTCGAACCACGTTAAATCTTCTCTCTTGTACATGTTTTATTTTACGTTAATATCGTTTTAGTTATTTTTTTGCTTTTAAATTTCTAGCAAATGGTATCAAAGCTATAAATCGGGTTGTAAAGGTCTAAAGGAATTTGTTGCTACAATTGTTTTAGTGATTTTAGAGACATATAAGATAAATTTACTACAATGAGTTACAAATGAGTAATTATTGATTGATCCAATGCTACTTCAATGAATATTGCGTAAGAAATGAAGTTGTTGAATATTTGACAACGGTGTTTCAAAGGATATGTGAATTACGTAAAAATTGAAGCTGTTGAAGACTTGAAGACTCATTTTCGATTGAATTTGAGTAAAGTGGAAGATTTGTTATATTTTGACCCAAATTATAATTGGTAATTAATTTAGATTTTATTATAATTCTAGTGGTTAAAGATTTCTTGGTAGTTAACTTTATTTAATAAAATAAATATTTGTTTTAAACAAAAATTCTTATAGAGAATTCTTGGTGGCTAAGTATTTGACTCTATAAATAGAGATTATGTCGTAATTTTTAGGGTAACGTGAGAGATAATTATATAGCTTAAGGGTCGTTCTTGCCCCTGTAATAAACTCAATTTATTATTTTCGCCTTTATCTTTTTTGTTGCATCAATTTAGCCCTCGAAGTTGTCTATGATATTCATCATAGTCCTCGAAGTTCGTTGACTGTTTTTTACTAACATAATTGTGAGTCTTCTGTGTCTGTGGATTAAGGGATTATGTTAAAATATTTATTAAACACGTTGGTTAGAACAAATTCACAAAATTTTATTATTTATTTAAGTGAGATTAATGTATTATGTCAATTTTTTGGGTAATTTTTCTAACCATTGTATGTAGTAAATATTTTATTATTTATTTTTATAATAAATGTAACGTCATCATCAAATTACGTTAAAAAATGTTTGTTGGTGTTGAAAAATGTAGAAGACTAATAGTTCTATTAGTCAAAACGGACTTAAAGGGCTAGGATGAATATCATAGACAACTTCGATAACTAAATTGATGGGGAAAAAGGTAGGAGCGAACATTATAAATTGAGTTTACTATATGGGAATAGTGACCTTTGCAACTTTTTGAATTTATGATACAAGATAGTTCTGAAAAAAAAATTGGAGGGAGTATTTTGGATATACAGGAGCAACAGTCACCTTTTTACCTAGTTATTATATTTTATATTCGGCAACACATAACTTAGTACATGTACATGTTACACACACAAAAAAAGTTTCATCTATGAACACCTTTTCCTCTTTAATTATAAAAGCAGCAACTTGATATTCCACCTCCCCCAAATTGGCTTTGGCTGCACAGTTCCCAAACTACTATTACGCGTTTTCCCTCTGCACCCTCCCCTGAATAACCACTCAATTTTGTCATTTTCTTCACGTATCTTTGCCTTTATTCGCCCTTTGCTGGCTTTAAACTGTATTCTTTTAACGAATTGGTTGCCTTGAGTGCGATTAAAATACAACGCGTCAGTTGGCTGGCATGCCACCCCACCCACTCCTTTACCTTTCCCTTTCCTGCCACTTTCCACCCTTCACAAATCCGCACTATAAATTCATTCCGTTCCTCGTTAATTCTCATCCAAAATACATTCAATCACACTTAATCTGAGCTTTGCTTCTATCATGACTTCTTTGGACACTTGCAATGTTGCTCTGTTTCTTCTTGTTTTGGTTTCTTGGTTACATTTTACCGTCGACGCAAGGAAGCTCGTGGAATCAGGCGAAACCGAGCAGCCTTTGCTTTTCAAATACCACAATGGCCCTCTTCTATCAGGGAAAATCTCTGTTAATCTCATTTGGTACGGCAACTTCAAGCATCCTCAACGCGCGATTGTCTCCGATTTCATCGCTTCCGTTGCATCATCCAAGCCCACAGTAGCTCAACCCTCCGTTGCTACATGGTGGAAAGCCACGGAGAAATATTATCAGCTCACCAAGAAACCTTCTTCTCTTTCCCTCTCCTTGGGTTCACAAATCCTTGACGAGAACTACTCTTTAGGAAAATCACTCACGAATCAACAAATCGTGGAACTGGCATCAAAGGGTGGTCAGAAGAACGCCATTAACGTTGTCTTGACCTCAGCCGATGTGGCTGTTGATGGCTTCTGTTCTAGCAGGTGTGGAACCCATGGTTCAGCTTTAGGAAGGTCAAGCAATGGTCACAGTAAGTTCGCATACATCTGGGTGGGTAACTCAGAGACACAGTGCCCAGGTCAATGCGCCTGGCCATTCCACCAGCCCATATACGGACCACAGAACCCACCCTTGGTAGCACCCAACAATGATGTGGGTCTTGACGGGATGGTGATCAATATAGCTAACCTCTTGGCTGGGACTGTGACCAACCCGTTTGGAAATGGGTACTACCAGGGTCCGAAAGAGGCACCGCTGGAGGCTGCATCTGCTTGTCCCGGGATTTACGGTAAAGGGGCTTATCCTGGCTATGCCGGAGACCTTCCGGTGGACGCCACAACTGGTGCTAGCTACAATGCACATGGTGTCAACGGGAGGAAGTATCTGCTTCCTGCTTTGTTTGACCCTTCCACCTCAAATTGCGCTACTCTGGCTTAAGAGTTTAAACATTGATTATTGGACGTGGGAGATGTTAGCGTATACAATATATTTTAGGGCAGTATAATTTTGTGAGAGATTCTTTTATTGCATTTGTTATTAAATTATTCTTTTTTTCATAATGGTTGGACAACAACTTTCTACTCGGAAATATTTCCTGCATTCATCTTATATTATTTGTTTCCAATTGAATATCCTGACTTTTATATAATAAAAGAAAAAATTAAAAGGGAAATTATTGTATTCGCTAATGATGAAATATATATATTTCACAACTAAAATTTTAATAGCATTATGTCTTGTTTTAAGGATTTAGGGTTATAAATTTTAAGATTTAATGTTTAAATTTAAAATTTAGAGCTTAATTTATAATTTAATCTTAAAATTTAGAGTTTAGAAAAAATTCAAGGGTTATGAAGTAAATTTATCGAAGCCTTTTCTTTTTAACAAAAATTTATCGAAGCTTTGGGCCAGTCTCCGCCCAAGAAAAGTACCTAACGCTTAGCCGCGGCCGCTTGACGACCATCTCACATTCTCACTCCATGACTTTTAACCTCCGACAACCCATCCTCGCCCACCCGTGGGATTTCCCTTTAACCCTCTAATCAAACAATAATTTACATCGCCTCAAAGAAAACATAAACACATATATAAATACTTATTAACCACTGACGATCCCCTTGCCTTTTCGAACCTTTCTTTGGTGTCTCTCCCTTAGCTTTGCCACATACCAAATCTTCCAATGGACGCTCTCAATTTCAACTTTGACTTCATTTTTAGTTTTGTGTTGGGCAATGACTTACATAATCTAAATTTGGTATCACGTTCACACTTCAACATCATGATCATGTATATATATATATATATATATATATATATATATTGTCACGTACTAAACCTTTGGGTCCATGGACATTGGTGCAAATGTTCACAAGAGGGGTTCTATGTGCGCAGATTTGGGCTTGTTGGGCATGATAAGTTGGCCCAGTTCTTGGAGAATGTTTATGAGTTCGTGAAGGATCAAGTTCGAGGTGTTCGAGAGAAGCGACGAGGGTGTTACATGTTCGACGGGGGTAATTTTGTCAAGGCTCGTGGATTCGGACCGAGACATGTGTGTGCAGATTTATGTAGGATAATCTTATGGAGTGTTGGGCTTGCCCAGAACCATTAGACCTAACCCGTTCCTTGGAAGGTTCCAGAAAGGATACTATTATCCAATAATTAAGGAGATAAATACTTAATTAGGGATAGTGTTGTATTTGAATTCAAATGCCTTAGAGATAGAGTTCTAGATAAGGTAGGATTCAATCTAAGTCGTCTATATACTTTGATCTAGAACGTTGGATCTTGAGGGCCTCAACTATAAATAGAGAGCTCCTCCCCTCATTTGTAATCATTACTAGGGATGACAAAAAAACTCGAATCCAATGGGAAAAACCGAAAATCGAATTAAACGGGGACGGGAGAAAACTGTTTATGCTAAACGGGGGACGGGAAAAACTGTTTATGTTAAACGGGGACGAGTTTAGTAATCCCTGCCCCGATTACCCGACCCGATAAATATTAAAAATAATTATTATATATATATATATTATAATATTAATAAATTTAATTTAAATTCAAAAATATATATAATATTTATATATTTAATTTAAATATATATACCGACCCGATACCCGGCCTGATACACGTTTAAATAATCGTTTATGCTAAACGGGGATACCCGTTTTCACGCGGTTTTCCCCGATTACCCGATGGGGATACCCGTTTAAATCCCCGCGGTTTTTTAAGCGGGGACGGGTACGGGTTTTTTAAACGGGGACGAGGACGGGGGACCAATACCCAGCCCGAACCCAGCCCGTTGCCATCCCTAATCATTACATCAATTCCATAGGATTAGGCAACAATGCGGAAGTAAAACACAACTGACTAATCCATGCCACTTAGGTTGAAACGGATCTGAAAAAATTTGGAAAAATTTTAACATTCGGTACCTATAGCAGGGGTATCACTACGTACAATATTGTTCATAAAATATGTTTTTGCTTTAAAATTTTATAACAGACATAATTCAATAATATATTATCATATTTTCTTAATTTAAGTTCAAATGGTTTGCTATCTTACAAGAATATGGTTTCAAAAAGTCAATGTGACATCTCAGACTCGTATTCGGGTCGGATACGGGTTGGGGTGTACACTTTACCCTCGGTTTCTTTGCTTTACCACTTGCATTGGCACCAAGCTTTTCTTTATTTGGGCAACTCTTGGCCCTATGTGGTCCCTAACATAGGAAACACTTCAGTGGATCTCGCTTATTTACCCTCGGTTTTCCTGCGCCACTCGTATTCGTGCCGAGCCTCGCTCCTAACTTGAATGCTTTGACACCCGTAGTCACAGCATATTTGGCTACTACCCCTTCTACTTGTCTTCTCCTTTGACAATGGCAGCTAGACGATTCTTCACGAGACATCCTCTTATCAAGTGAGGACCATCACATAAATAGCATTTAAGTATTTAAGCAAATCAATTAATGGACCAACTTGAACTCATTCAAACATGTCAAGGTCAAGACAACATTTCTCAATACTTCAGACCACTAAAAAATACAATTTCGCCCTTTCCATTGAGTAAAACAGCGAAGGGATCGATCCTTTCTTTCTAGGGAACGATCCTTTTCCCCGAGGGATCGATCCTTTTTATGGGAATGACTTGCTTAAGCTCGGGAAACACCCAAAAACCACCTCAACAATTCCCCTAAGACTAGTAAACATGCTTAATGTCTTATTTAGTGTCTTAGAGGCCATAAGGTACTATCTTTCATATTTGCAACACACAAATATGAATTTTACCATGAAAATTACTCTAGCATGCTTCATGAACTAAACAAACCCCCACATGCTTTTTTTACCCCATACATGCAACCATATTCATTTAGATGACATTACAAGTGGTAAGGAAGAGTTATAGTGTGTTACCTCAGCTCCTAGCAACTCAAAAACGTCTATAGCTTACCCAAAGATTAACATTTCCTTGACTTAGCTCAAGGGGGTTATTGCACCATTTTTCTATCACTCATAAGCCACTAGTCGATTCCAACATGAAAATGAAGGACACCAGGTGTTAAACAACAACTAAACTACATGAAAATCAAATAGAAATCATGTGAGGAAGCTCTTGAAGCTTAAACCCTCCCAAAACCTACAATGAGTTCATGGCCACCATTGAAGAAGATGATGAACAATTCAGAAAGCTTAAGAACCCTAGATTAAGAATCTTACCTCTAAATTTCATATTGACGAAGGAGATAAAGAAAGGTGCAAGCTTTCCCATTAATCTAGCTTGAAAGAACAAGAAAGAATGAGTAGAAAAGAGAGAATGAAGAAGAAGAAGAAGTTTTGGGGAAGAGAAATAGAAAAATGGTCTGCCCAAAGCTCCCTCACCCATGTGAAATCAGCAAAATCCTTCCAAATCAGCTATGTTTTCTTCAATGGTATAATTACTCTTGATCTTTCCATCTTCTTCCTAAGCTTAAAATCCCCCCTTTAACTTCTACATGGCTAAATTCTTATTCGATTAAACTCAAATTCGAATCAAAAGAACCTCATGATACAAATAATCTATTAAATAAATTATTAGGTCGACACGAAACTACTAGGTCGATATTCAGGGCGTTACAGTACCCACTAGCTTTCCTATCATTGCAAGAATCTCTTCGTCAAAATACTCAATTGGTAATCCAAGAATGTGAATCCAAACGGCTTTGGAGTGCACATTTGTATTGCTAGAGAGGAAGTTCACCTTCCCCTTATGAACCGTAAGATAGTGATCCATTATTTTCCTAGGACCCTCTCTCAGAACTTTTATTCTATCATTCGGGCTTTGGAATTTTATGGCATAGAATCCATTTCCCATATCGATACAATCGAATTCGCTCTTTGAATTCCACATTGTCATGATTCTTACTATTAATATTTTGTATGAAATTGTTTTTCCTCAACACCTTTATGATTAATGCTTGCCACCATAGTTGTCGAAATCTTTCCTTGATTTTCGTTCTAATCTTGATTGTCGGAATTTCATCATCATCAACCTCTTCTTCTTCGTCTGATTCCATCTCTTCTTCCTCGATTCTTGACGAATTTCTAAACATTTCAGTAAATAATGGTGATTCCATCACTGTATCCTTCCATGATCTAATCCACGTGTTTTCTTTTTGCGTTTTTTCTCCCGTTGATGCCCTAATGTCTTTCTTGCTTCTACCAGGTTGTTCTCTTTAGATGTCGTCCTCGTCACCTGGGTGACGGGCAACTCCTCAACTTGCATGAGCTCCTGGAGTCAAGACTCTACAACTTCAATCTTGAAGAGAAAGATAATGTTTGTAACAAATTGAGTTTTTAATGATATATAAACATGCGTTTGATCTTTAATTATACATTTTAAATTATTTTACTTTTAGTTTAAAGATTATATAACATATTTAAAGATAAAATAATACTAATTTGTATATAAAGAATATTTTAGTCATTTCTTAGCCGAGTTGATGATGAATTAAACAAAATTTTAAATATATATTTTAAAAAGTTGTTTAACGGTGATCAAAGATGAAGTGATAAATAATCTATATAAATCTTTCTAAATACGAATTTAAATCTTTAAGCACTAAATGTAATCCCCAATTCTCTCCCTCACATCGTTGCTAGTTCTTTTTCTTTTTCATTTTTTTATCAACGGCGATATCAATCTCAATATTAGACATTGATCGTCCTCATTTATTTAATTATTTTATTATATCATATATATTTTTAATTTTTAATAATTATGTTATTATGACATTTTTTCTCCGTCTTTATGTCACGTTTTTCCTTTACCTTTTGACATGTTTTCGGTTGTTTTACTGTTATTTTCATTTGTCTTTTTTCTTAGGATTGGATTTGACAGCGTCAAGATTGATCAATATGACATTTATATGTCATCATGCTTATATTCCTTACTTTGGACTCTTGAATTGGATTTGAATAAGTGATTTGTGATTTGCGTTTGTGGGTAGTTTTATCATGTAGCTTGATTTTGATTTGTGATTTATTGATTGTCTTTCAATAGATTGATCCTCATTTATGATTCGTTTGATGATATAGTATATCTATCTTTATCTATATTTTATTTGATTTTATTTGATTAAATTGTTTAATATTTTCCTTTTATAGTTATTGTGTGATCTTGAGTTGTTAGCTTATTGCATTAATGGTTATAAAAAAATATTTTATTATACATTTAGTTTACGGTTGTGATTTTAAATTTTTATTGTAATTTGAATTTTTTTTATCTTTAACAAAAATAACTGCTTATGTTTTGTGAAAAAATAAGTATAAACTTTTATTCATTCTATTTAAAGATTACGTGAAAATATAAAAAATAAAAAAATTCTTATAATAACAATATTTATCATTTAAAATAATAATATTTTAATTATTAATTAATTGAGTTAAATCTTGATCAATTTGTGACGTCAAATTAAGAGATTTTATTAATAATATAAAAATATTGATAAAAATTATTAGAAAATTATTATTATTTATTAATTAGAAAATTATTCGTAATCAATATGCGAGTATATATATGTTATGCCAAAATCATATGCTGACGTGTGTTTGGGCTAGAAGGGTTGAAATTGCATGAAGTGGAGGGGTAGGGGAGGCTTACTTTGGTAGTTATTGTTTTTATTGTGTAAGGTTTGTAAAGTTTTTATGTCTGCATCACGTAGACTACGCGTAAACATTGAGCTTCGTAAATCGTTTGTTTTTTAGAAGACAGAAGTTCTTCTAACGTCTACGTGTGATCTGCGCGGTGCAGACGTGACGTTATGTCTGCAGACGTCTTCTAACATGGGGTTTTATATTTAATTTTATATTATATTTGATTTTAATTTTAATATTAATTTTTTATATAATTAAATTTATTAATATTATATTATAGATATTAATTTTAATATTAATTTTTAAATAAATTAAATAATTTTTAATATTATATTATAGATATTAATTTTATCATATAATTATTTTATATATTATTAAAATTTTATATTTTTTAATTATTTTGATTTAAGTTAAATATAATTTTTTTTGGATTTGTTATTTTTTAATTATATTTAAACTTTTTATACAAAATATAAGTATTTAAACCACATTGCTTAATAAAAAATGATTTTTAATTTTTTATATTTTAAAATATTAATTATCTTTAAATTAATCACAATATAATCACAATTAAATAAAAAATAATAACAATTATATTTTAAAATTTTAAATATAATCACAATTAAATAAAAAATCATAAAATAATTTTTTAAATTAAATTTTTTTCTAAAAATATATAATATAAAATAATTATGAATATATATTTACAAAAATTAAAAGTATTACATAATTGTATATTTAAAAAAATCATATAATTTAATGATCATTTATAAATTTTATTCTATAAAACTTATAAAACTAATAATACATGTGATTATGTGAGACTTATAATAGAATTAATAAGGTGGTGTTTGTTTTTATAAAAAAATTATTATTGTAGTTGTATGAATTATTTAAATTTCAGTATTGTAAAACTAAAATTATTTAAATCTCAGTATTGCAAAACTCTTTTAAGTTTAAAAAATCAGTTTATTTATATTTCAGTTTATTTTAGCAGTTTGCAAACGTTAAAAAATAAACAGTCTTCTTCTTGCAGACTGCAGACTTTTGGTCCACCTCTTCTACTGCAGATGTCTACAGATGTAGTCCATAGACTTCAAACCTTTTACCTCTGCAAAAACAAACACCACCTTTATCTTCCCGACCTTTCAAACAACCCAAGGGCTTCATAAAATTTCCAACCCACTAACACACTCAAGTGATAGGCAACGCACACTTTTTGTGAGATTGGTGAGGGGTCTTTTTATAATTATACCATTTTTGACTTTTCAACACTTACCACCAAATATTATATAGTATATAAGTGAATCATCATTGTGAAGCTATTAACTATAGTTAATAAATATATAATATCAAAATAATAAGTAAGAATTAATTATGTTATCTATAAAAATTATGAATATTTTAAAAATATTATAATTTACCTTTAATTATGGGATTTTGTTTTAGTGGTTTAGTGGTTAAGGTGGTCTCATCCTTACTTAAAATCTCAGATTTATGTTTGACTATTAACATTTTCAATTTATTATCAAATAAGGGGTTTGGCTGAGTGGGTAAAGCTTGAGGACCAAATGAGGAACTTAGTCAAATATTGTGATTTAATTAAAATTATTAATTAAATTGATAGAATGTTTAAGTATTGAATATCAAATGTGTAATAACACTATTTTTAATAGTCATGTAACCTCTTCCGTTAAATTTTAACGGTTTTGTGGCTTGATTGATACACTTAAATAATTAAATGATATGATTGATAAACCAAAAAATTGAAGGTGAAAATGAAAAGAGACAATTGTTAAGTGATCACATGCGTAAGTTACTATATTAACTCAACTTTCATTGGGCATGCATGTATGCTACGTTAGTCGTCGTTAATAGTTTAACAATATAATGATTAAATTGAAAATTTTACTTAATTGCATTTATTTGAATAAATTGTTTTTGAATTTCAATAATAATAATAATAGTACAAACATCTTAAAAGTTAAGTGACCATAAATATAGTTTAACCTTAATAGAAAATGTTTGGTTTACCGGTTGGTTCTGCTCCACTATACGCCGCATGCAGTTGTCATTGTAGTTTTGATGCAAGTTTATTGAATATGGTACAAGTTTTAGATGTGGTTACATTATCTTTATATTTGAAAAAATATTAAAAATATTTTTTTATATATTCTTAGTGGTTTTAGCTTAATGATAAGGTTAAGTCGCTAAAAATTTGACATCACATGCTCAAAACCTATTGTTAATAGAATAATACCATATATGATTTCAAGTCTACCGATATGCTAGTTTATGTCTTATCATATATCATATATGGTTTATCTATAAAGTAGAATTTGTCAATTTTATTATAAATTATAATTTAATATAATTTAAATTAATTGTTATTGTATTATATTAGTACAATTAAAACTAATTTATACGTTTACATGAATCAAATTATTACTATTTCTAATCACTTTATATTAATAAAAAAATATTTTTTACATTTTAAATATATATGCAATTGGAGTAAATACATTTTATCAATTAATTAAGTTATTTATTTTTATTTCTTTATATTTTTATTAATAATAAATTTTAATATTGTCATTTCGTCCCTTAGAAGTTAGAACCCCTCTTTCTCTAAAAAAATACATATTAGGGTGCGTTTGGTTAACAAAATATAAGATTATCAATGGGAATATGATTACCAGCGGGAATAAGATTACTGAGAATGTTGTATTTTATGTTTGGTTCGTTTAGTAAAAATGTAAGATTACAGTGTTTGGTTAAATGAATAAAAGATTATTAGAATGTATATTTTACCAAATTGTCTTATTATATATTTATTTTTTAACAAGTTGAATTCTACTATAATTTTTCTATAATTAATTTTTATATATATATTTTAAAATTTTAAATTCATAAAATTTATATAATTTTTTTTACAAAATTAAAAAGATAAATAGGTTTAAGGAAAGGGTAAAATTTTATTTTAACCCCTGAATTTCATATTAAATTCTAATTATGATCTTTTTTTGTAAATCTAAAATAGTTTAAGGATAAATTTATAATTTAACATTCGTAGAATATTTTTATTCAACGACACAAGAAGAATATTTTTGAAAAAAATTAAGGGCATTTTAGTCCAAAATGCATGTAATCCAACAATACCTAAAGAAAGTGAGATAATCACATTACCGATAATATACTTTAAAATATCACTATTGAGAATAAAAGATTATCGAGGACTAAGAATATTTACCAACCAAACGGGATCCATTCTCCAATAATCCCGGATGACTTGAACCAAACATGTTTTTCAATTAGCTCAAGTGACTATCAGTAGTAGGTACGATTGGGTTAGGCCACCTATGGGAACATTCCCAAAATGCCCTGTAATGAAATTACGAAAACACCCCTATTTCCCAACTACCACCATAGCCACGGCTCTACCAGACACAGCCTCACGCCAGCATTTGTTGATTACAATATTGTTGGTAACGCGAAACAGAGAGCAAAAACCTTCAAAGCCAATTGCTTATTTTGTCGCCCGCCCCCCTCGCTTATAAAAACCATCCTTTTAACTTCATTGCCATACCTCCAGCCCAGGTGGCCTGCCTCTCTCACCAACAAGCCAAAGGAAAACCATTGTTAAACAAAAGCAATGGCTCTCACCAACTCATCCATTCTTCCCACCAACTCCATCCTTCAATCTCCGTCGTCAAAGCCTTTCTCCAAGGCTAAGCCATTATCTCTCGTTCGGATCTCCGCCGTCCTGTCTTCCGACTCCCCTAAAAACCCCGTTGTCTCCGACAAATCCGTCAAGCAGCCTGCTACTGCTCCACTCGCCGCCGCCAAATCTGCTTCCTCTCCCGCCACTGCTCCACCGCAGAATGCGGTGCCCGGAAAATGGACCGTGGATAGCTGGAAGTCTAAGAAGGCTTTGCAGCTTCCGGAATATCCGGATCAGGCGGAGCTTGAGTCGGTTCTGAAGACTATCGATGCTTTCCCTCCGATTGTATTTGCTGGAGAGGCTCGGAGTCTCGAGGAAAAGCTCGGGGAAGCCGCCATGGGAAGCTCTTTTCTGTTACAGGGCGGAGATTGTGCTGAGAGTTTCAAAGAGTTCAACGCCAATAACATTCGTGACACTTTCCGGATCCTTCTTCAGATGGGTGCCGTTTTGATGTTCGGCGGTCAAATGCCCATTATCAAGGTCAAAACTAAAAAAAAAATCACCTCACAATTTAACATTTCTCCCCATTGTTTTGGCTTCAGGGTTGGCTTATATTTCTGTTTTTTGTTGGATAGGTAGGGAGAATGGCAGGGCAATTTGCAAAGCCGAGATCGGAGCCATTCGAGGAGAGGGATGGAGTGAAGCTGCCGAGTTATAGAGGAGACAATGTAAACGGGGACGCATTTGATGAAAAGTCAAGAATTCCTGATCCGCAGAGAATGATTCGAGCTTATTGTCAATCAGCAGCTACTTTGAATCTTTTGAGAGCTTTTGCCACGGGAGGTTATGCTGCCATGCAAAGGGTTACTCAATGGAATTTGGACTTCACGGAACACAGTGAGCAAGGAGATAGGTAAAATACTTCGATCCCGGTTTAATTGACTTTACCTTTTTTCTATCTGGGGTGTATTTTTTTTTGGATCCAGTATTCAATTTCCACTTGTTTTGTTTTCGTCTGTAACTTTAACCACAGTTTGAATATTAATATCTGCTTTGTCGAGTAAATTCAATTTTTTAATTTATATGGAAGAGGCGTCTAGAATTATTCTTGTTAGATTTCCCAGGCATACTTATGTTTTTTTTATTGTTCAATTCAGAATCCACTAGATTTTTGCTTAGATTTTTCTCGTTTGCTTTCTGCATCTGTTTATGGCATTTGCATAAACGATAGATTCCAAACGTTGTTACTCTGATACGGAAATCACATGTAAATTTTCTTCTTAAAATTAGTTTTTTACTCTTTAATCAGATTATTCTCTGTTTTGGGCTGTTTTCTTTATATTATTGTTGCTCTATACTTTTTTTGAGAAGGTTTAAGTTTTCAAATTTATTTGCCCTTTTCTGGGACGACGTAGGTACCGAGAACTAGCAAGTCGTGTGGATGAGGCCCTTGGATTTATGGCTGCAGCTGGACTTACAGTTGACCATCCTCTCATGACAACAACTGATTTCTGGACTTCGCATGAGTGCTTGCTCTTGCCATACGAACAGTCGCTTACTCGTCTTGATTCTACATCTGGCCGTTACTATGACTGTTCTGCTCATTTCCTATGGGTTGGGGAACGTACAAGACAGTTGGATGGTGCTCATGTTGAGTTCTTGAGAGGAGTTGCTAATCCCCTTGGAATTAAGGTAATTATGTCTAAGTCTAATGTTTTCAAATACTCGACTTGTGTAACTTCTCTAAGAACCAAACATGCATTGAATTGTGTATCTTACAAGACTCGAGTGGTAATTAATTGAAATACATGTAATGCAAGTCCTATTTTGGCAAGTGTGCAGTTTTTATGCTCAGTCCTTTTTTCTAATAAATATTTTTTATTTTAATTCGGTGATAGTGAGATGACTAACAAGTTGGGTATTTTGCGGCAGGTGAGCAATAAGATGGATCCAAATGAGCTAGTGAAGCTGATCGGGATTTTGAACCCTCAGAACAAACCTGGAAGGATTACAGTTATCACAAGAATGGGTGCTGAAAACATGAGAGTGAAGCTTCCTCATCTAATTAGGGCAGTGCGCCGTGCTGGGCAAATTGTCACCTGGGTCAGTGATCCAATGCACGGAAACACCATCAAGGCTCCTTGCGGTCTCAAAACTCGCCCCTTCGATTCCATAAGGGTATGTTAATCATTACTTAACCTCTTGAATGAATAATTACTGTTAATTCATTGGTGGCATAAATTGACATTTTGTGTGTGATTCACTTACCCATTTGAATTAGGGTCCCCGAAATTAGTGAGTCCAATTAATCCTTTCTCATTATAATATGAAATGACAGACATCTTTTATGGCACAGTTATTAATTTATTCACAAAAAAGGAAGGTTCGTTGTTAATTGGGGACCATAATTTGTATAAGCATTGTTGGCTACTATGACAGACTAACTTCTGATGCTAGAAAAAGATGGACCATAATATGTTTGCAACTTGTCAGAGTAAATGAGGAATGGTTATTAGTAAGTGCTTTATGTTAAATGCAATTAGCGACAGTATGGAGATAAACTTGATTTTAACATTGAAGTCAAACATATTGGCATGGAGGGGTTAATGGAATTTGCTCAACTAGGGCATTAAACTTTATTTTAACATTGATGGATCACTCATTATAGCATTCATGATGTAAAGAAATCAAATCAGTCATTTTGGGTGGTTGCATTTCGTATCTTCAAATAAAAAATCATTGCATTTTTCCTGGAGAGTTTCGAAGTCAAATATACTATGGTGGGGACGTGGTGTAGGTGAGAAAGAGACTATTTCTTAAAATTGTTTGGAACAAAGTATAAAACGAGATTACTTGAGCATGATTATAATAATTTTAGGTAAGACGTTGTTTTCAGATTGGTAGGTGGTCATATTTCCCTTTCTCATGAGTTGATTTAAAACACATTTTGCAATATAAAATCTCTTTAAACCTCTCTTGATGATCCTCAACTGAGTGTTGATAGCACTTTGAATGATGTTTCATTCCTACTTTTATATGGCTGCCAATTATTTGTTGATTCTTAAATAACATAATTAGTTCACACCCATTCTTGACAGGCTGAAGTGAGAGCTTTCTTCGATGTGCACGAGCAAGAGGGAAGCCATCCCGGAGGTGTTCATCTTGAGATGACAGGCCAAAATGTGACGGAATGCATCGGGGGATCCCGGACCGTTACATTTGATGACTTGAGTTCATGCTACCAAACCCACTGTGACCCTCGGCTGAATGCCTCTCAATCTCTTGAGCTTGCCTTCATCATTGCAGAGCGCCTTAGAAAGAGGAGGATCAACTCACAGCAACAACTGATCACAGGGCTGTAAAGTTGCGCTCAGGATATATCCACCAGGCTTACCTAGATGTTTTCAGTTTGTGATTCTTTAGTTTCGTCCTGTATTTTCATGCGTATAGTGGAGAAAGAAGGTTGGGATTTGAGAGGGAATAAAAAAGCTTAAGCTATGACTGAATTCTAAATATTAAGGATGTTGTCTTAATACAGGTACAGAGAAGGCGAGAGCTGATGTTTTCAAATGAAAGAATAATGGAAAAATGTTAGCGGTTCATCTATTGATGTTTTTACTAATCTATTGTCATCGATATTTATGGGTTTTGTTTTTTGAGGAAATAATAATAAGTGGCGCTCTACGTCGGGCTTCATTTTAATGAGTTTTATATATATATATATATATATATACATGTCATGCTAAACAAAGCTTATTTTTCATTAATATTTTGTTTTAGCGAAATTTATTAAATTAAAATAAAGAAAAAATGTTAGAAAAATAAATTAAATAAAAGAAATAAGGGGAAAAAAGGGGAAAGGTAAAGGCGCGTGAGCATATCTCGCGGAGCAAACGGTAAAAGCGCGCGTGAATTCCCTAATTACATGAATATTTTATTTAATTTCTGATTTGAATTCTGTTATGGTAACTGACCTAGATTCTGATATGATATTGACATGGATTCTGATTTGATACATGACCTGATTCTGATATGATACTTGACTTGAATTATGTTTTGATTTTTGATATATTCGTTTACGGACGGAACATGTTTTATTGGGGGTATCGTTGGAGGAAGAATACTTGGAGGCTCCTCGGCTTTGTGCTTAGGGCCTTACTTGCAGGCTCCTCGGCTTTGTGTTCAGGGTCTTACTGTTCGTGACGGGGTTGTATGGTTCTGGGGAAACTATACATTTTGTTCGTGACGGATGGGGTTATATATATATATATGTTTTAAAAAGATCTGAAAAGTTACATGTTTTTTGGGAACACACTAGAAAAACTATTCTGATCTCTTGAACCTAGACATCCGAAATATTTCTATATGAACTGAATACTATCTGTTACTACCTGCGATATCAATGGACCTCAGCTCAGCCTAAAAATCTATAGATATCTGAACCAATAAGGAAATATATGTTTATTTGTATCTGCACGTTCTTCAGCATCATCTGGTAGTTCTGTATTACTGAGCTTTCCGAAGCTCACTTTGTTACTCACCTTTTCAGGTTAAAGGAATTGTACCAGTGCAATTATCAACTTCAGTAAAGGAATCCCTCCGGCGTTGGTTGCAGAGTATGATACTTGAAATTAGGGGGCATATAATTGTATTTTGGTTTATATATGAGTCTAAAAAATTTGTTTTATTTCTGCATACTGATAAATGATTTTATAAGTTTACATGTTCTGATTAAAAGTTTTAAATTTTCTGTTATTTTTACAGTAGGTCGCTCCGGTGACCCTAATGTGATAATCCAGATCGGATCAGGTTATCCGCATCGGTATGAGGTTAATTTTTGCTATTTATTAATTAAAAACGTTCACTTTATGAATACTTTTATTTAGTGTGATAAAACTGAATTTGTCTAATACGGAAGAAGAGAAAGGTTATTATTTTAATATTAGCGCAGGCCCTATAAGATTGCATTTCCCCCTGTTTCATCATGGAAAACAAAATTCATGATTTGCTGCTTGCTACTAATTAAAACAATCCCCTTTATTTTATTTGTGCGCATTTTCACCTTGTTTGTGGACTGCTGCCCCTGTTCGTGGAAAGGGTTTTTTTTCTCTTGTTTTTTGAGTCCTGGTGGTGCCCAGATGGAAGTGGGTTGCTACCATGTTCTCTAAGTATTTATCAATGAATACTTCCCTTTGATAAAAAAAAATAAGTGCTAGGGTTTGGATTGTAGGCCTATTGAATATCTTATCTGTAACCTTTTTTATAGACAAACAGATTTACAGCGTTCCAAGATGGCAGTGTTGTTATGCCTTGGATTTTGGTTTTAAACTATTTTTTTTATAACAAAGGAGAGAGGCAGTACTAAACAATACGCAACGCTAGAGCCAGCTGAATCCTCCAGCAGCAGTGCAGCCACCATCGCAGGGGGGTCAATGAGCACCCGAGTATCAACATCTCCAACCACAGCAGTTTTTGCTAACATATCTGCAACTTTATTGACTTCACGGGGAGAACGACAAAATTGTACTTCCCAATCCCGATTCAACAAGTCCGAGATAGATCGACCAAAGTGATGGACACTCTACCATGCTTTCTCCGTTGCAAGATTTGAAGAGCCTCGGAGCTATCCATTTCCAAGATGACTTTACGTTCACCTAATCTCCAAGCTTGCCGCAATCCTTTATAGGCACCCCACAATTCAGCTTCAAGCACGGAGTAAATCCCAATAGATTTTGAGAAACCACACAACCAATCTCATGTCCATGATCGTATAACCCCTCCACAAGAGGCAAAGCCGACATCCTTGTCCCGGGCACCATCAGTATTTAGCTTACACCAATATCTGAGTGGAGGAGACCACCTTGTGATAGCAGTGCGAGGATGACAAAGTATCGAAGGGGCAATGTTCGAAAGGATAGCAGAAGTGGCTTCCTTCTGAAGGAGTCTGCTCCTCACTAAGATGCTCTCCTCATCCATATTATCCGGGTCAAAGACTCTTCTATTCCAGTGAGACCAAAGAGACCAGACGATGGCCCCAAACAGAAGGTCCCTCTCTGGAGCCTCACGAGCATAATATGCCGGATTGCCAAGATTGATTCGAATCCAATCTTTTAAATCCCTTGACAAAATGTCAGCGAGTTGATCATGTTTAACCAAACCCGTCCATATACTGAGGGCCACGGGGCATTGACAGAAAAGATGATTAACGGATTCCTCCGATAAACCACAGCACCCACACTGATTATCAGTGCTCATGTGTCGTCAAACCCGTTCTACATTAGTTAATAGCCGCTCACGGGCCATTAACCATAGAAAGCTCTTAATCCGCTGTAAACCCCGGTACTTCGCAATCATCTTCCAGACTCCATGTGGATGCTCCTCCGAACGCTCTATACGAGACTCATAAGCTGATTTAATAGTGAATCGTCTATCAGCCCGCCATTTCCATCCAGGTGCATCCGCCTTCACCGACTCTGCTGGTGGCATCGTAGCATGGAGTCTACGCAGAACCGTGCTGGGGAACACATGATTTAGCGCAGCACAATCCCACTGCCCATCCTCATTGACCATCGACGCTACACTTCTTTGAATGAATGGTGGATCCATCGATGAGGCAGCCATATAATTCCGTAACGGTCCTAAATCGTCAAGTCACTCATCGTTCCAAAAATCTATCCGAAGGTCATCCCCAACGTTCCAAACCAAGCTTTGTCGCACCTCCTCCCACACCATCGAAACACCCTTCCAAAGACGAGAACAATTGTTTCGAGTAAGGGAGTTGGGAATATCACCATTCCACTTATATTTTGCTCGCAGAATCAATGCCCAAAGCTGATCTTTGTTATGAATGAGGTTATAAGCAATTTTCATCAAGACAGCGGCATTTTGGTGTTCAAGTTTCTTGAAGCCAAGGCCCCCCTCCTCAACCGATTTACAAGCATCATTCCAATTCACTAGATTAATTCCTCTCCTTGTATCCGTGTGACCCCAAAGAAAGGAGCAAATTAGCTTCTCAACCTCGTCACAAGTTCCCTTAGGAAGTAGCGTGGACTGCATCGTACAAACGGAATCGTAGATAACACAGCTTTTTTAGAGACTATTTATATACTTTATACTTTACCCTTAAAATTAAATAGATTTTAAAATATCAATAGGTTTAAGGTTAAAATATATTATATCTTAATATTTTAAGTAGATGTAAAGATTAGGCTGAATATAAATAAACAAACACAAACGAACGGATTTTCAAATATTTACGAACGTAAATGAATAAATGAGTATTTTATTCGTGTTTATTGATTTAATTAAACGAAAATGAATTTTATATTCATTGTTTAATAAAAAAATTTTAATTTTATTTACTTTTTAATCGATAAAAATTGTAAATTGATTAAGTTGAAATATTTTATCCGAGTTAAGATTTTTTTTTTTTATATTTAAAAATCAAAAATATGAAAAAGAAATACATTTAGAAAACTAACATGAAAGCTATATTAATTATTAAAATCATCTTCATATATTAATAATTTTGATAAAATCATCCTCTTCTAATTTGAAAATTTACAAAATCGTCATGTGATTTTTTTAAATGTTAAAACCGTGACCATATACCCCAAGACTTTACCTCCTTTAACCTCAATACACACTTTCACATTCAACAAGAACAGAGTCTTCGTTTTTTTATTTTATTTTAAACAGCTAAATTTAGACAGAGAAAGCGTCACTGGTTAATTCGTAATCGTAATTGAATCTAACTGGCCGAAAGGGATTCAGTGCAGTCCGAAACTTAATTCCGGAAAAGCCCACTAATCATTTTCAAAATTACCCCCCCCCCCCCAAAAAAAAAAAAACAAACAAAGTGAGTACCTGTCCAGCTAGGCTTTTTTTAAAACACCCTCTACTTTTGCCTCCTAAATCTAACGGTCCATATTTGATCCTCTTCCCTCAACGCAATCATCGCATTTGCCATCAAAAACTTCCCCCAAATCTCAAATCTTATCATTTTCAAAACCTACCCCCTTCTCTTTACTCTTCCCGGCTTTGCCTTTTGCCTCCCTCTCTATCGACAATGGCCGCCGCCATCATTTCTTCTCCCCGCGAGGAAAATGTCTATATGGCAAAACTCGCTGAGCAAGCCGAACGCTACGAAGAAATGGTCGAGTTCATGGAGAAAGTCTCTGCTTCCGCCGACAACGAGGAGCTTACCGTCGAGGAACGAAATCTCCTCTCTATTGCTTACAAGAACGTCATCGGCGCTCGCCGTGCTTCCTGGCGCATCATCTCCTCCATCGAGCAGAAAGAGGATAGTCGTGGTAACGATGATCACGTTACTACGATCCGTGATTATCGGGCCAAGATCGAGTCTGAGCTTACTTCCATCTGTAACGGGATCTTGAAGCTCCTTGATACCAGACTTATCCCCTCGGATTCTTCTGGAGATTCCAAGGTCTTTTATCTTAAGATGAAGGGAGACTATCATAGGTATTTGGCTGAGTTCAAGACTGGAGCCGAACGCAAGGAAGCTGCTGAGAGTACCCTCACTGCCTACAAATCTGCTCAGGTTTTCAAAACAATGCCTCGTTTTCTTCAAAGATCTAAGAGAGTTTTTTCTTTCTTTCTGTTAACATGTTCTCTGTTCATTAGGAGATTGCCAACGCCGAGTTGGCTCCTACTCACCCGATTCGACTCGGGCTGGCACTCAATTTTTCTGTTTTCTACTATGAGATTCTCAATTCTCCCGACCGGGCTTGCAATCTAGCAAAACAGGTTGATTACCAATTTCTTCGTATTATTATCGGAATTTTCCATAAACCTAGACTTGCGACATTAAAAATTCACTTTATGGCCAGGCATTTGATGAAGCTATCGCTGAGTTGGATACTCTAGGAGAGGAGTCGTATAAAGACAGCACCCTCATCATGCAACTCCTCCGTGACAATCTCACTCTGTGGACCTCCGATATGCAGGTACATTAATATCACCTTCTAAAATTAAAAACCTTTTGCCCCTCTAAACAATGCATACTAATTTAATCATAAATTAATTAGGATGACGAAGCCGATGATACCAAAGAAACACCGAAGCGTGAGGAAGGGCAACAAGAGAAGCCTCAGCAGTAGTGAGACTTTGCTGGGCTCTTTCTCTCTGTTATAATTTACCGATATAGGTTTCAATTCTGAATGAAACTTCTACCCATTTTATGTGTTTTTGATGGAAGAGATTTGCCGCTTCCGTCCATTAATTTAGGCAACTATTGTCTATGTTTAAGCGTACTCGGTATATTTTTTCTCTCTTTTTCCTTTTAAATTTTATCACCTTCTAAAATCGTTCATGTACCCTTTGTTGTTTAGGCAATGCTATCTACTATCTCTGCTCTGGTTTCAGATTTTACTTGTGGAATTGAACTGAATGCGATTTGGAAAATCACAAATTGGAATTTGCTAGTGTTCCTGCTCATTTACTACAGCTCTTGCGTAGTGTTTTTCAAACTTGTAAGGTCGGTCAAATACTGAAAAAAGGAGTCGTCGTTTTACTTTTGGTCAATATTAACCGCGATGTTTGCTTTGCTTCCAATAGTGTAGGGGCTGATTCAATCGATTGGGTGCTTCGTTTCATGAAAGCTGTTTACAATTTTTTTGCAATAATAAAAGAATATAAAGAAAAAGTGAATTCTTTTTCTAATTGAATTAAGAGTAAATTATAATTTTAGTATTTGAATTATTAGTTTATGTCTATTTTTTTTTTAAATTTTAAAATTTTTTAAAATATATTTAGTGTTTAATTTTTATTTTATTTTAATGTATATATTTATGTTAAACCAAACAATTATTTAAATTTTAAGCGTGAGTAATATTTATGGTTATTGAAAGCACCAAATCTTACACTACAGCAGGCGGTCCTGTGAACTGTAACTTTGTTCACCGGACAGCTCATTAAAACTTTATATTTAAAAAAAATCACGTTAAAACATTATTATTATTATTATTAATTTGGGAAAAGCATGATACAATATATATTTAAAGATAATTTAATCATTTGATATTGAACGCTCAAGATAATTTAATCATTTGACATTAAACGTTCACACCTCTGATATTTCTGAGGCTCGAATCTGAAATTTTAAGAAATAACAATAATTATTTTACCGCAAAAAATATTTGATTTATGCCACGTTAAAACATTAATTGTTTTTAACTAATTAAGAATAAGGGAAGCTGTGTGGTACGATTGGGCACGTTTAGGAGAGACCCACTTGACCCTATGTGATATCATTTGGACTCTTATTAATTTTTTTATTGGAAACATATACAACCTTTCAATTTTTTAAATATGATAATAATTATTAAACTTTCCAAATTTTGAGTCATATTTATTTGTACTTGATTTTTAGCATTAAATGAATTTATTCATAAACATTATATTAATAGTTCATAAATATATATAATTGAATGAATTTATAAATAATTAAAAATATAGTTATGCAAAGTAATCAAACCCATTAATAATACATTTCTTATTTTCTAGGTATAACATAGATATTAATTGTTATATTATCAATTAAATAAACACTCACACAAAATAATAATATTAATTATATAATAAAACAATAAACTAGTTTTAAGCTATCGTCCGGTATATTACATGTCAAAAAAACTTTAATGATGTTAAATGAACTTAAACAGTTGTTCAAAAAAAAAAAAAGACTTAAACAGACTTTATTTATGAATATAAATATCTAATGTTTTAGTACCTAAATTATCATCTATGGTATGTTTTAGTACCTATACTTTTAATTTTTTTCAAAATCATTCATAATGTTTAGTTTTCATTTCATTTTAGTATCCTACCGTTAACATAACATGTTTAGTACCTAAACTATCAGTTTTGGTCTGTTTTAGTACATAAACTTTTAACATTTTCAAAACTTAACGTTAAATTTTGAGCGGGTACTAAAATGAAACAAAAATTAAAGTTTTTAACTACGGGGTACTAAAATGAAATAAAAATTCAACTTTAGGTATAATTTTGGAAAATTATAAATTTAGATACTAAAACAAACTAAAATTAATAATTAGGTATTAAACACGTAATTTACTCTATAAATAAATTGTACATTCATTATTCATATTTGTATAGATTAATATATGAATTAAAAAAAACTATTATATTTATTTATTTAACTTAATAACAACGTAAATAAACATTTTATGAATAATCAAAAGCATAAGATGCTATGGAGTGGTTTATTTATTTTAAGTTTCTTTTCACAAAGTCTACTTTTCGCCATATATAAATAAATTGCATATCAGTTGTCTGAGGCAGTTGTAAGTGATAGTTATTAGCCGAATATTTTGTTTCCAGCTAACTGATTCTCTCTTGAAAATGAGAATGGATAGCAGTCTTGGTTCTCAAGTTGCTGTCCTGCTTTGCTTTCTTCTTCTTGGCTCACCTGATGGCAATGCAGGTATTCTTAGGACTTGCAAGTTCGATGCCATATATCAGCTGGGGGATTCAACATCCGACACTGGGAATCTGATCCGAGAGGACCCTTTTTCTCCTTGTGCTAAATGGCTTACTTATCATCGATTTTCTTGGTAATCTGTTTTCTTCATTTCTTTCTTCATCAAAACCCATGCTTTGCTAGTAGATAGTCTATAGCTTTTATTTGATTATTTGCAAAAGTTGGTTTCCAGCTCAATCTGATTGAACCTTTAAAAAAGAGAGTTTAACTTTGAAAAAAGTGACTGAAAAGTCATGATAAATCCTTGTAATTTTGACAGCTTTATCTGCTGGAATCCCATTCCTACAGCCCTACTTGAACAGCGAAGCACTATTTAGTCGCGGGCGTGGAGTGAATTTCGCGGTTGCCGGCTCCACCGCTTTGCCTGTGGAAATTCTAGCTGAAAACGGAATTGTTGCCCCTGTTACCAACACTTCCCTTAGCAGGCAGCTTGACTGGATGTTCACCCATTTTAATGGCATATGCCGCGATGATGAAGGTCCCCTTTCACAAGTACTTCAATGATAAATATACATAACGTGAAGTAACAATATATGGTGTTTGATGCTTTTGTCTGACAGATTGTTACCAGAAACTTAAAACGGCTCTGTTCATTGTTGGGGAGATTGGAGGCAATGACTATAGCTACGCCTTGTTTCAAGGCAAATCCTTTGACCAAGTCAAATCCATGGCCCCTTCCGTTGTTCAAGCCATAAAGGATGCTGTAGCCGTACGTTCTTTTGGTTTGTATAATTTAATCCTTCAACACTGCACCAGTTAACCAATAACCTTGTTCTTGATTGTCACAGAGAGTCGTCGGCTACGGTGCTACTCGGGTGATTATTCCCGGAAACTTCCCGATCGGCTGTTTGCCAATACATCTCAGGGGGTTTCGATCCAATGCTTCGGATGCTTACGACGATTTTCATTGTCTCAAGGACTTGAACGGCTTGTCAAACCATCACAATGACCTTCTGAAACAAACTATAAAAGAATTGAGAAAGAACTTCCTAATGCGATCATAGTATATGCCGACTATTACAATGCATACATGAAGCTCTTGAACAAAGCGGCGTTTCTTGGTAAGTTCATTAACATTCATAGATAGTCTGTTAGAAATTGGTTTGGATTTATTAATATACGCGTATTTGTTGTAAATATGAATAGGTTTTGACCCTCACACGACGGACAAGGCTTGTTGTGGTTACAATTTGGGGTCCAACAAAATGTGTGGCGCACCAGACGTTGCACTGTGCCCAAATCCCGACCGCTACATAAGTTGGGATGGAATCCATTTCACACAAAAAGCTTACAAGTTTATTACAGGCTGGTTCCTTCATCACATCTATCCACACCTTCGCTGTGCCGTTTGAGTTGCATTTATTATTTCTGTATAGACCTACTACTTTTCAACTAAATTTTAAAATTTCTATAACGGAATTTGAAGTCTTAGATGAATCGATCAAGAGAACATATTACGGATTAAACATGTAGAATTTAATTATATATATTTTATTGAATGAATTAAGTTGCAAAAGAAAATGTTGATTAACAGTTTAAAAAAATTCTTAATAAATACAACTTTTTAATCAATTTATATTATTCACGCGCACACAAAAGTTATATAATATGTAACAATTAGACAATTAATCATATATAGACAGGGATGGATCACGAGGATCAGGGACGGAGTCAGGACTTAATTTTAATAGAGGCTGAATTTTTTAATAACTTTAAGTTTTATACATAGTTTTTATTATTTTAAAAATATAAATTATAACATTAAATATGTGTATTAGTTATATCATTTCAATGGAATAACAAGTAAAAAAATAGAAATAAAAATAAACTCAATAATAAAATACGATTTTAAAAGGTGTCAAAAATATAATTATCACGTCATCATAATAATAGATGTTGCTCCTTCAAATCTCAAAATACATCCATGAGTGGTACTGAGTTAAATATAATAAAATTCAATATAAGATCCAACAACTCCAATTAATAAATATACTAATAATTAATTACTTGCTTTTAAAAATTGATACTCAATTAAATCTGGACCACTTTAATAATTCTCTTACAATCTTAGTAGAATGAGCTTACTTTTGTTGTGAAGTTAATGGTTCTATCGTAAAATTTTATGTTAGAAGAACGAAGACAATACAACTTAATACTCTGTAATTTTTTAGGGTAAACTACACGTTTTGTATTTAAACTATTATTTTTATTTTGTTTTTTTACCAAAGCTTTATATATTTTTTTCAAATCATACCTAATGTTTAGTTTATGTTTCAAAAGATAATGTTACATCATGATTGAAAAATAAAATAAAAAATATGATGTCAACAATTCTGTTAATTTTTTAATTACGGGTACATGGGTGGATGCACTTGGCTCATAGGTGGCCAAGTGCATACCTATTATTTTAGATAAATTATTAAATATAGTTCAATATATTAAGGGAGTAAGAAAAAAATAAAAAAAATTACATACCCATTTTATTGAAAAAAATAATATTAAACTTTTGAACCCTCGTTTTTAAATTTCTGGATCCGTCACTGGACATGTATCAAATTGAAACTTAAACTAAATATAAGATATGATTTTTAAATAAATAAAGTCTAGATATCAAAACTGGAACAAAAATAATAATTTAGCTATTAAATTTATAGTTTACTTTTTTTTATAATACTAAAAACTAAATTTGTAATTTGGGCTCCAATGGCTCTTTCCTGGTGCAAATGGGTGGGTGTAGTTGTTTCGCTTAAAATTTCAAAATTACCATATATTTTATATTTGTTATATGTGTTTTTTATTTAAAATATGTTTTTATCCTTTGAGGTTTATAAATTCATTCTCTCTTAAAATTTTATAGATTCATCTCCTTTAAAATAAAATCATGTGTTCGTTCTTGTATAGTTGTATATAGGAGTAATTTCAAATTTTGTTCGAATACCAAGAAACGAATCGAAGACAATTGAAGATCAAATAAGAGTGTTTCAGACATTTCAATGTCTATTGGTAGTGTCCTCGTTTCTAGAGCGAGAATTTGCTCTCCATTCTCTCTAGATTTCTCTTTGGAGTTGGGTCCTCGGTTGGTCTTAGCGATTTCTTCCATGTCTTTCCATGGATTCCTGGTTGTCGAGATTCATTTATAGAGCTCAAAATGGTTATGTTTACACAAAGTCCTGTTGTTTTCTTATCAAGTTCCTAGATTATTAGGATTGGATCGTTGTTCAGTTGTCAAAAGTCTTTCTCGGTGTTCTTTTTTAGTGGAGGAATTTGAAGGTAAGAGTTGTCTTTATATAGTTGTCTTGGAATGAATTAGAGAGAGGAATTGTAGCTTATGGGAACACTCGAGATTGGTTTGTTGGGAATGGGTTCTTTAAGGGTAGAGTGGAGGACTGGAAGAAGGAATGGGGAGGATTTCAGAGTAGAAGTGATCGGGGAAACTTGGCAACAGGTCAAGGAGTTCGGTGGAGTTTTGTGTCGGAAAAATCAGTAGGTTCCGGTAAGGGAAAAAAAGAAGATGATCGGAGTTGGTTTACCAAAAGTAGAAGGGGAGAGATTGAAAAGATTAGAGGCTGTGACACGTTTGTAACTGCTAATGTACGGACTGACAAGTGGTTATGGGTTTGGTTTGTTAAAGTAAAGTTGTCCATTAAGGGAGAAAGCGTGTGGTGTTGTGATTTTGGGGTGAATTATTTTAGAGGGAATTATCAAACAAGGAAAGTTGAGGGATTTTTTATTCAAGAGACAAGTCAAGAGCCCATTATTGAAATGATATTAGGTTGTTTTCGGGGATTTTATTGGAAGTATTTTAAATGGAAGTATCTAAGGATGTTTAAGTATGATTTGTGGTCTTGGCAAGTGGGAGAACAACTTATTTATTTGTTTCGATGGCAGCATATTGTACAACAGAAAGTATATTTTCAATGCAGTATGGGGCTTGTCTACTCGATGTACTGCCTTGTGCAGTCAGCAGGTGAAATCGGCTGGGATCAGGCGTGGGGCGAGAGATTAAAGTCCCGTCAGGCAGAGTAGGTAGGCAGTTTCTGCGGTCACTTTACGGACAGGTTTATAGGCTGAAAAATCTATGAGATATTGCTTCTTTTTGGGGAAATGGAATATTCAAATAATTTTATTTTGGTTGGTATTATGAAGAGATATTTTATTGTAAAGAATTTATTAAGGGTTGGTAGAGGTTGTAAGTGGGAAAAGTCACATCGAAAATTTCCTAGTCAATTCGATGGGATTGCTAGTCGGGATTGGGTAAGGAAGCTAAGGGGTGTGAGGTCGATCTTACCTATCACACTCTCAAAAGAAAGTTATCTACCTTTGTCTTTGTTTTTCGGTGTAACTCCTTTGAAGTGTTGGCTAACAAAAAAGGGTGTAAGAGTGGTATTTTGCTTTCTCCTTCATTTGACCATTCTACTAGTACAATGTCAGAAAAGGTTGCGGTTCTTATGAAGCACCTGAGATTCACTGAGGAAGAGTCGGAGGATATCTCTCCACCAAGGGTCATTATTGAAGATGGTGTGGTGGAAATGGATAAGTGGATCGTTGCAAAGATAATTAGCTACAAGAGAGTAGATAGCGAGATGGTGTTGCGATTCTTCCGCTTATTTCGGGTTTTCTGCTCTATATGGGTTCAAGCATTTTGAAAGACAATATGTTCCTGTTTAAGTTCAAAACGCTCTCGGATAAGCAAACGATTTTGGAACGCACCCCATGAAGTTTCGAATGAACTATTTTGGCAATATCACACTTTGACCCTACATTAAGTATTGAAGAATTTGACTTCAGGCCTCTAGCTGTGTGGGTGAGAATTTATGAGCTCCCTTTGGGGCTTATGCGGATTGAGATAGTAGAAAAGATTGGCAATAGAATAGGGAAGACCATTGCTACTGATACAAGGTTCGGAGAAAGAAGAATGGGTGATATCTTCGGGTTAGAGTGGAGATTGATTGCACCAAGCCGTTACGCAGATGTGCCAAGATGGGGCAGCTTGCGAATGGGCAACCGAGGAAGTGATTACTCAAATATGAACGTCTGCATTCATTTTGTCATAGGGGTTGTATTATTGGCCATGTGCTTATTGAATGTTCGGGTTTCTTGGAATAATTGCAGTAGTCTCTAGTTTGGGGAATGGCTTAGAGTGCCGCCTATTAAGCAACAGAAGAGAGTAGCAATAGAAGAAGAGAATGGATTATTTATGTTGAATGTGAGAACAATGGACGGTCAATGACAAGTTCGGCGAACAGTCCGTTTTCGGAACGGATTGCAAGGATTCCCCAAGGTGGACCGTGGATCCCGAGAAGAGATCTTCTGCACTCATCAAACTCTAATCAAGAGGATGATTCAGATTTGTCAGATCCCACTGGGCCGGATAGCTCTCTGCCTCAAACTTTTCCGGAGATCTTCCTCGTTCGTGATCGTGCAATGGTGGAGGAGCAATAGCCCGATCGAGACCCAAGTGTGAGGGTCGAGGTTGGTTCTTCTAGTTCGGGGAAGAGAAAGAATGGGGAGTTGAGTAAGGAAAGAGGAAGGTTAAACGAGTGAATCGCCAGGTAGTGCATATCTCTGACTCTACCCTGAATTTTAAGGTGGGTACGAGCGAGGAGGAGGACCCAAGCGAGATACCGGAGAAACACACCAGGGATGTTATGTTAACGGTGGTGGCTGAGGTTCAGCCTCGCCAGTCGCCGTGACGATTTTGTGTTGGAACTGTCGAGGGCTTAGGAACCATGCGACAGTTTGAGAGCTTAGGAGGATGATCTCCTAAAATGACCCAGTATTGGTTTTTGTTTCTGAAACTAAGTTACGAAAAAATAAGGCTGAGGCTATAAGATTGGCTACAAAGATGTTCGGATGTTTCTCAGTTGAAAGAGTGGACGATTGCGTGGGCCTAATGATGCTTTGGAAGAGGGTATTGATGTCTCCCTTCAGACCTTTTCGAATCTTCATATAGATGTGGAAGTCCATTGGAAAGAGCATAGATTCAGATTTACTGGATTTTACGGTCGAAGTGCATGGTCGGATAAGAAGCATAATTAGAAGTTGATTACTCATTTGTATTATATCTCCTCTCCCGTGGTGTATGGGATGAGATTTTAATAAAATTATCCATCCGGATAAGAAGAGAGGAGGTCAAAAATCGGTGAGGGTGCATATGGAGGAGTTCCAACGATGTCTACGTGGGGCGGATTTGTAGGACATTCGGCCTAGGATAGGATGATTTTCTTGGGCTAGTGGAACTTGGGCAAGGTCATTTGTGTACGAAAGAATTGATAGGTTTGTGGCGAAAAATGACTGGAGGCTTTTGTTCCCGGAGTGCCGTGGTTACGATCCCGACGGCTAATTCTGACCATTCTGCGATTTCCTTGAGCT